AGAAAGTGAAGGATGGAGAGGGAGAGTGAGAAAGAGGGGAGAGGGAGTGAGGGATGGAGAGACAAAGAAAGGGAGTGAAATGGGGGAGTGAGGGATGGAGAAAGTGAGAGAGAGAGAGAGATAGGGAGTGAGGGATGGAGAGAGAGAGAGAGATGGGGAGTGAGGGATGGAGAGAGTGAAAGAGAGATGGGGAGTGAGGGATGGAGAGGGAGAGAGATGGGGAGTGAGGGATGAAGAGAATGAAAGAGAGAGAGAGAGGGAGTGAGGGATTTAAAAAGTGAGAGAGAGATGGTGGAGTGAAGGATGGAGAAAGTGAGAGATGGAGAGAGTGAGATAGGGAGAGAGATGGGGAAGAGAGAAATGAAGAAAGCGAGACATGGGGAGAGAGGGATACAGAGTGAGAGAGGGAGAGAAACATGAGATAGAAAAGAGGGGAGGCAGAGAGAGGAAGGGTCCAGGGAGATCAGGGAGAGGGACTGGTGAGGAAAAGAGAGGTGGGGGTGGGTTAGAAAATTAAGGGATGGAGAAAGATTGCGAAGGGCAAGCAGGGAAGGGCAGGAGGTGGGGGTGGTGCAAGAGAGGGGGGACAAAGAGAAGGGGAATGTAAGAGGACACAGAGAGAGAGAGAGACGTGTGAGGGACGGGAGAGGGAGATAGAGAATCGAGGGGTGTGGGAGATAGAGAATCGAGGGGTGTAGTGCAGAGTGGGGGGAAGGAGGGAGAGCGGAAACAGGGCAGAGAGGTGGGGTGGGGGTTATGGGAGAGAAAGAGAGAGCAAAATAATTTAAAGAAAGTGAAAGTCAGGAAGGGAAAGATGGAGAGACAGAGAGAGGGTGAGAGAGAGAGAGAGGTGGGGACAGAGAGATGGTCATGGATAGGAGACCTGGTGGGAAAGTAGAGGTGATGCGGTGGAGACAATGAAGAACAGAGAAAACGAAGCCTGTTGGGGGGAGAGATAGACAATAAAGGGATGAGAAAAGGTGATGGGAGAGAGGGAGAGAGACAGGAAGAGAAAAGAGAAGTTTATGAAAGACTGAAGGAGTGAGTGTGTGAAGCAGTGAGAGAGTGAGTGAGAGAGCAAGGGAGTGAACGAATGAAGGAGTGAGTGAGAGAGCGAGTGGGGAAATGTTTGAGAGTAAAGGGAATGAGATGGTGACTGAGTGAAGACATGGATTAAGAAACAGAGGGAGTGAGAAATGGAGAGGTGAGTGATTGAGTGTGTGTAGAGTGAGCAGGGAGTGAGGTCTGACCAGGACATCCCTGACCAGGACAGTGATCCCTCAAAGGTTCCGGAGCTTCTGGGAGCCCAGAACCACAGTGACTGAAGGCCATGAGTTGGCATCTGAGGAACAGTTCACGCACTGGATCCACCCCC